CCCGGGGAGTCACGGCAGGGGCCGGCGCCCCCGCCTCGGCTGCCCTGCGGGTCCTGAGAAGGAGCTCGTATTGAGAAAACTGGTGGGTGGCGGCAAACTGGCAGGTGTGGAAGGACCCGCAAGCGTTCTGGAAGAGAGGATCAGGGTTTGCATTGGAGGCAGGATCTAATACCAGCTTGGTGGAATCCGGTACTACCGTATCGCGTTCAGGAAGGAAAAATCGGGAAGTTGAGCTGCAACGCATCAGAAAAACTGTGCTTAAAAAGGACGGAGTTCTTAAACGCTTAACTCCTGCTTAAACGGCAGGAGTTCCCTCTAATTTGCTAATTACTGGTGCATGGAGGGGAGTGTGGTGGGGTTTTTTTCTCTTTATTTGCACTCTGAAGCACATCATGTATTTTTATATGTGAGGTCATTATTCCCTTAAGAGCTTTTGAGCACTGCCCCAGGTGCCACTTTTCTAAATATTTTTTGTTAGCTAAAAAGGACTAAACGGCAGGAGTTCCCTCTAATTTGCTAATTACTGGTGCATGGAGGGGAGTGTGGTGGGGTTTTTTTCTCTTTATTTGCACTCTGAAGCACATCATGTATTTTTATATGTGAGGTCATTATTCCCTTAAGAGCTTTTGAGCACTGCCCCAGGTGCCACTTTTCTAAATATTTTTTGTTAGCTAAGTAAAAAACACTGTTACTGAAGCAAAACTACTGTGTCTGAACCACGGTGGTAAGTTTACACAGTGCAACAATGGGCAAACTTACTAGTATAAATCTCTGCTTAGAATTCAGTTATGTGGTTTCACATACCACGTAAGACACGCAGTAGAGTGCTTTACTCACCTCCCTGCAAACAGAAGCTTGAATATACACTAGGCGTTTTCTTCTCTCTCTTTCTTGCAGGAATAGGTTGTAATATATTCAGCAAAATCTCTCCTCTGAACATGTTAAACAGGAAGTATATTACACTGTATACGTGAAGAAATATTTCCTTAAATATCACTCTAGAATTTTGCTAGGTGGTGGGGATTGTTATTTTTTCCTGATTTCTTAAAAATAGTAAACCCTATAGCTTTATTAAAGTTCTGAAATATTTCTACTTTATTATTTTATTGAAATTAGAGTGATGTAGACATGCTTTTGCTACTTCAATTACACTTTCAGTTCTTAATTTCAAATGTTTTAGCTCTTCATGTTGTTAAACCCTAGCCCACAGTCAACTATTGATAGCTAAATACTTTGGCTTGTATTTCATGCACTGAAAAGAAATAAACCAACCCACAGACAGGTTTTCCCAGTTCTCTCTGAAACAGAGATGGGAGGGCATTTTAAAAACCAAGGTAGTGCATGGCTGTGCTTGCCATCTTCCCTTCCCATTCTATGGGATGGCTGGCTTGGATAATTGTGATTGCAGCTGCTACTGCATTATGGGGAAAGAAGATTCTCTCTTAGGCAGACTGCTTCCAGATGACTATGTCCATATATTGGTCCCTGATTAAGGTGGCTGGCCCAGAGATAAAGACTGCAGCTAAAGTTTTAGGCAAATACCTGCTCTATTGATCATCTACTAACACGTAGTGTGTGTTGTGCATTTTTAGAATGCCATGCTTCAGTGATGAATGTATGTCTTGTGCATACATTTATACATTGTTATGTATAACTTTGTGGTGTGGGGGTTTTTTTGTGAGTTTTTGTGTGTGTTTGTTTGGGTTTAAAGAAACTATAAGTTTGTTATTTTACAATAAAGTCAGTATTTTCCTGTAGGATCTGGGGGAGGGAAATTGGTTCTTAGTTTTGAAATTCTGTCCTTGGTGTTAAAAGCCAGTATAGCAGTTTAAATATAGATCTTCAAGTAGCTTCTGGGAAATGAACTTATGAATGAATTGATTTTAGTGTTCTTATAACTCTATTTTAAAATAATCATGAGGATTGCAGATGACTACCATGTGATATGACTAAGCTTTTCATTCAGTGTTTTTACATCAAGATGATCTCTAGAAAATACTCAAGGGGAAAACAAAAATCTATCAATAACCTTGGGCTGTTTCTTGGTTTTGATAACTGTTGACTGAAGGAGACCATATACATTCTGTTGTATATGGTTCATAGTGTAGGATGCAGTCTTAGGTTTGTTTTCTACGTTTGTTTGACCTAATGGCCCAACATTATCATGTTTGATAACTGATTGGTACTATCTTGCAGCATGGTATGCGTACTGGCGATGCAGAAACCATGTAGCAGAAAGCTTTGAGCAGTTGTGGATTATCAGTTTCTCCCAACAGCAATAAAAAGTGAAGAATGAAGGCGACTGGATTTATTTCCCTATGGACGTTGGTTTTGCTGCCTTGTGGCCAGTTAGCAAATCCTGCAGAACATGAAGATGTAGTAAAGCATGCAATAAAGCTGCACCGTGGGAAAGGAGCTGTTATCACTCAGAGGAAGCAGTGGGTGTTGGAGAGCTGCAGAAAACTGTCTGGTCTTCTTCGCCAAAAGAATGTTGTTCTCAATAAACTAAAAAATGCTATAAGAGCAGTTGAGAAGGATGCAGGACTGTCAGATGAAGAGAAACTTTTTCAGGTGCATACCTTTGAAATTTTCCAAAAGGAGCTAAATGAAAGTGAAAATTCGGTCTTTCAAGCAATTCATGGCCTCCAGAGAGCTCTACAGGGTGATTACAAAGATGTTGTAAATATGAAAGAAAGCAGTAGACAGAGACTGGAAGCCTTGAGAGAAGCTGCAATTAAGGTTAGTTCCCCCATGTTTATTACTGGGAGTAATTAATATTCTACTTGTGATTGTAATTTTATTATGGCACGGTTTCAATCTGTTTTAATAAAAAAGTGGATCTACATGAACCTTGCAATGTTTTACTCTTTAAAATGGATTTTGAATGAAGTATTTGTTCTCATTAGTAAAATTAGAAGTAATTCTGGTGCAGAGCTTAAAACTTACTACTAGTCAATAGTTCTTATTTCAAAACAAAGCTAAGCGTAATCATAAGACCTATGGCAAATATTATGTTAAAGGGAAAGGAATACAAGAAGTGAGTCATAGCACAGTTGCACTAGATAAACCAGTGGGATTATCAGAGTGGAAATAATGCCATAAATTGGCAAAATATTAACTGTTTTTTCCACTTCAAATGAGAATTGCTCAACCAAAATCCACAATTTAAACAGAATGACTTCTTGCCTTTTATTTCCGTATTCGTATAGGTGTGGGTAAAATGGATGTGCAAAATATGAGATGACTAGATTTTTAATCTCAGTGCAGCGCTCCTAGCCTAAGAAGTGCAGGTTTGAAAAACTACTTCCAAGAAAGAGCTGGCTGAGATAACTTTACCAAGAAAAGCACAGATGAGTAACAGTTGAGCACAAGTACTTCATAGAAAGTTTGAGTTCCCATGTCAATGCAGACCTGTTAGGGTGTGCACAATCTGCCACTGTCTACTGGACTTGGTAGTGCTCAGACTGTGTACTGAAAGTCTCCCATTGAGAGAAAACATCATTTAATTGATTTGGTATTTAAATAGCTCTTTTCCTTGCTGTACCCCTCAGCCACTGGAGGAATATATTAAGAATTTTCTTTGTTTTCTGTCTTCTAAAAGAAGAGGCTGCCCTTGCATGAGGGAGCAAGAGAAGGAGAAAAAAAATGTAATTGGGATATAGCATTTGAGCTGGGAGAATCTCTAAAGGGCATTTGTGTAAGAGATGTGAAGATCTTAACAGGTGAAGATGGCAAGAGATTGTGTGCAAGAAAGGTGTGGAGTGAATTGTGGCAAGAAAGGCTGGTGGAAGTAGAAGTTAGGATGCAGACTTGGGAGACTACAGTGGTCTGTGCAGTGAGAACAAAGATGGAATTACGACAGATTTGGATAGGGAGTAGCTTGGATCTAGGTGTGTTCCAATGAAGTGCTCAATCAATATGACTTTCATATTGGTGCTTAATGGTAGTGCCAGCCTTCACTCCATAGAAGCGGTAGCAATTGTCATGAAAATTATTTGATTTTCCACCTTTTTTTTTTTTCTTCTCAGAGCTCTTAAAATAGCAGCAGTGAAGCTGTCCAGAATCTTCTTTCTCATTTACTTAATTCTTGGCAATGTTACTGTAAAGTACTGAAGTAATCTGTCCTTGAACTTGAGAATGGTGTTTCTTCATTTTTCTCATAAAAGGAGGCCTGTGTGTATAATGATGTGTTTGAGATGGGTGTCCTGTCAAAACTTCTGCACAGGTGGATTGTGTAGGCCTTTTTTGTATTATCATATCAAGATATTTACTTGGATGAGCAATCTTTTATACCCTTCCTTCTTATGTCATGCGCGTGATTATTTAAACAGAGTATTTGTTGTTCTAACCGTACAATTGTTACATAAAGTGAAACAAAGGATAGTGGGGGAAGTGCATACCAAAAGGATGAAAATTACATGGGATCCATTTTTTTTTTTTGGACTTCTTCTTACTTCAGAAGACACATAATAGGTCCAGTTTTGTTCCAGTTTTATTTTACTGTAATGATTACTTTGTTGGTGTACTCATAAGACGTCCTTTCCATTTTTTTAAACAGTGATTGAATGGAAAATACAAATGACTGTAGAGGGTGCTGGACTCTTCCCTTCATTTTATTTCTGTTGAGTTGAAGTATTTGGAAGTCTTTAGTGTTGGGATATGTATGCATGTCTGATGCATTTCTTGCTGGTTCTGCTGCTGGGAAAAGGTATAGCAGAATCATGCATGGGGGGGAGGGGAGGAAGGAAGAAGCACTGAAGATAGCTTCTGCCTTCGTTTGCTCCAGGAACCTGTGTGGAGGTTCAGGAAAAAGCAACAAAATCTTACCTGCTTTTTACGAGCTTCTAATTTCTTGGGTGCCTACTACTTGGACATTGATGGAAAAACTAACTCACAAGTAGTGCAAAGATGTATCCTCTTCTGAATGTGCTTTTTTCATCCCTGATTAAACAGTAGAGAGCAACAGCAACACTGCTTTCTTAACTAGCATTGCCCCAAAGTCATACTTAATCTTGCTTCATTTTGCTCATGTGTTTCTAGGTGTTCCAGTCTCCTGTTTAGTGCACAATCCTTATCTGTATTACCTTGCTTAAAAGATTGTTTGGTATGTACCTTGTGATCAGATGTCTCCAATCCCAGCATGAGTTGTGGAACAGTGTTTGTACTGTGATGCACTTCTGCTTAACATGTAGCAGGCTGTTTGAGATAGCTTGTCCTTTTCACGGACACCGTTCTCTGTGATTGTCCCACTCTACTGCCGTGACACTGGTCTGTAGGTGAAAACAGAGATACCACTTTAATAGACTACAAAAACCTTTGTCTTCATTAATTAAAGGAACTCACAGTTAAACTCAGATTTTTCAAAGGTCTTCTACCTTGCTATTCAGAGAAAGTTAACTTCTTGCAAATGAGAGCCCGTATTTATTTTTCTGTAGTTTACCTCTAACTCTGTTCAGCCAGTTTGTCTCAGCCGACAGAAAGGACTGATCAGCTCCCTCCACCCAAAACCTGTTCCATTTTTGAGGGGAAAGAATCTAACCCTTATCAATTCCATCTTGTGTTCTAAGTTGTTGCTGGCTGAGGAAAGAATCTGCAGCTCATATGGGGGCTGTTTTTTATGTCTTTCAAGCAATGTCTGCTAGCAGAGAACAACAGATAGGAAATGTTTTTCCTTGAGGCTGTATGAGAGTGACTGTCTCTCTTGCTTTTGTGTTGCATAAGAACTAAAGCAGTTGACGTTGGGCCAAACACATTAATAGTTACATTTTTCCCAACTCCAGTTATTTTGGGAACTGAGTAAGTTTCATTGTGCTGGTGTAACTATGGTAATTCTAAACACCCAACAGACAAGAGCCAGCACTTCTGTGGTTTCCTCACAACCAGAAGTATTCATCTGACTGTCAGGATTTTAAAAGGGTTAAGCTACAGTTACAGGCTGTACTGAACATACTCTTGTCTTGGCATCAAGGAATTGATTAAATTATATGCATGTTCTTGCAGGTTTCAAGGGGAAAAATGTCCATCCACAAGCATGTGTGGAGGAGGGGACACTCCAGTTATTTAAGCATAGGAGTTTAGGACCATTTTAGATGCCCAGGAGGTTATCCAAGGTATCTGTGTGGGGTAGGCAGATAAAACACACAACCTAAGGGACACCTGTGTTCTTATTTGATTTCTAACTGGCTGTGGCAGGACATGTAAAATGGAGACAGAAATGTGCATTTTCTGGGAATTCAGTCTGACCTAGAGGTTGCTTATATTTTTTGCCCGATCTGTTTTTTCCCTTGGTAATAATATTGGCTTTCTTAAAGAACAGATGTAAGGTCTCTCTCATCTAAATCTTTGAAAGAATGTGGGCATGTAAAGTGAAGTATCATATCTTTTTTTCAAAAAAACCTCAAATTATAATTTGTCCATACACAAAGTATTACATTTGGTTATTGTCTCAGTAACCATGTAGAAGGGGCAGTGTTAAGTCCAGTCTTGATCAGTAAATAAAACTTACTTTTTTAGTTCTCTTTTTGAACCTGAAACATCATAACTTTATCAGGGAAGCTACTGAAATATTTTTACACCATATCGAACCACATCAGCTTTTTTTCTTTTCTTACTTCTGAAGCCTAGAAATGGATTTCAGAAGTCATTAGTGCAAGTTCATAAAAGGCCCAAACTGTAAAGATGGACAAAGTCAAGTATTTTACTTCTGATAGGAAAAATGCTTCTTGGGAAACATAGGCAGAAACCTCAGCTAGAGTGCTTGACTGCTCATCTCTACTCCCAGCTGCTTTTATTTTTTTGTAGCTGTTTCCACAGTTGTTGTAATTTTTGAAAACCATAAACAGACCTCTTCCCATGTTTATAAAATGGCTTATAAAATTAAGATTCATTTTGTTTTCCTTCCAATTTGTTTGTTTGTAGCTAGTAAAGCTATGCTTTCAAGGTTATTGTGCTTCCCTGCTAAAGCACTGAGCTCTAAACTTTACTTTGCTCTGAAATGTTTCCTAGAGTTCCTCAAAGTAATTCCTTTCTTGTATTTTCTGGATAGTAACCTTGGGGCAGCTCTACTGTTTAATGTATTAGAAAAGGCAATTGGTGGATATTTTGTTTGGTGGTTGTTTTTTGTGCCCGCTTCCCCCAATGAAAATTGGCACAAGAGAAAGCAATCTTCAAATACCATTATAAAGTCTATATTGCTTTTGCAATTCCACTCGTAAGGTGTTTTGTGTCAAAAGAAGCGTACATTTATGTCAAATGTTTTCCTGCTCAAAGGCCTGGCCAGCACTTTATCTGTGTATTGTAAAATTCAACAGGAAGAAATGGAATACGTTGAACTCTTAGCAGCAGAAAAACATCAGGTTGAAGCCCTTAAGAACATGCAGCATCAAAACAAAAGCCTGTCAATGCTTGATGAAATTCTAGAAGATGTCAGGAAGGCAGCTGATAGATTGGAAGAGGAAATAGAAGAGCATGCCTTTGATGACAACAAATCCGTAAGTGATATTTTAGACTCAGTCTTTTCATTTTTTGCATTTATTTTTTCGTTGATATTTGCACTGTAGGGGTGTTTCTCTCGTGTTAAATAGTTGCTAGGATTTTAGTGACTATTTAAGAAAAAAACAAAACAAAAAACTTTTGGCTCTACATTTGGTTTTGCTTCCCTTTCAACACAAGAAAGTATTTAGTGATAGAATGATTGCTTGTTAAGAGTGAGCACACAGGAATAATTACTCCTTTTTACTAGTGACTTCTGTGTTTTTGATTTGAAAGTCCTTCCTGCAGCTGCCACTTTGACAGTGACAAGTGTAGTCCGTCTCACTGATACAGCCCATGAGAGTTATGACATCTCTGGTGGTGGTGGCGACTGTGATATTTAGACTTTGTAGGATATGGAGTTCCCATGTTAAGTGTAGTCTCCGCTTTTTTCTCTTTCATCTTGTTGAGAAAGTTATGGGAGAACAAGAATCCTTGCAGTTAGTTTTCACAGTCTGGGAAAAGATATATTGTTCAAGGTAAGGACTTGAAATGCATTTGCGGTGTTGCTTTCTCCACTTCTGACTTCCTCTGCTTTTTGTACCTTGGTCTATTTGCATTGTTCATTGTTTCTGTGTTGCGTGATGGACAGTATCCCTCAGGTAAGGCTGTGTGTATTTGGAGCTGGGAGTACATCAGTTTATTCTAGTGTCCCACTGTGCTGTCCTCGGAGACTGACTCTCTAAATTGGTCCTGTTTGCATAAACATGGGTTGCAATTTTATTTGGCTTTTGCTCTTGAAAGGCTTTTGTTGATTTGCAGGTTGACTTCTGAGGCGAGCATACCTCTTGAATTCTGCTGAGGAGGAATTCTGTAGTAGAGAGCCAGGCCATTTTTTGTAGTTGTATTGAGAGAAGGTGAAAGCAGCTTTTTATTTTGTATACCCCAGATGGCAGCAATTGTACCCAGTGGGAATCCTACCTAGCAGGACCAACAGCAGGGAAGGGGCGAGCTAGCTGGAGTGCCCTCTTCTGTTCCGCTGGGGTATAACGGCACGTTTTAGAGACCAGGAATGCGGTTTTTTCTGCTACACCTGTTAACTGGCAAAATGCCAACACATCCTTTTTCTCCAGTGTCTCTCTTTGGTTTTCTGCCTGTATCGCTATTCATGAAAGAAAAGGAATCATGAAATGCAACCTGGAGGACTATTTACATCTCCTTCTTTGCAAGAAACCTCTAGTGTGTTTTCTCTTCAGCTAGAACACTGGAACATTAGAACAAAGAAGCTCTAATAGAATCATCAGTAATCTGATAAAGATACAAAAGCTTCTATTAAAATATAATCAAATAGAGAAGTGTAGTAGGTAAAAATGGAAAAAAAAAACAAGAATCTGAACTAACCCACTTAATGCAAGACGAGTATTTGTGCACTGTATTCTGTTACGTACAACCTGCTTTCAGGAATTGCTGTTTTAGGAAATAAAATCCTGAAAATAACTGTTTTCTCTCATTATGTCCTCAAATTTATTAGTATTTAAAAGCTCATCTGAACCTGTGCCATCTACTCTTGTTCTTCTAGCACAGTCTGTCCTTTGTCAGTTTCCTTTTCTTCTGTAAAAGTAAAAATGCACCATAATATCCACACAATGTGTGATTTTATATATATACTGCACAGAAAAAACAGATTGTTTTTCATAATGTCTTAATCTTGTAAACATCTTCCCTTTTTCCTAATATTGTTTCTGACCTAGACTGTGAACTCCAGTAGATGCAAGAATGTATTTATCCAATTGCATTGCTTTTATATGATCTTTGATACATTTTTAATTTTGATGCAGAGTTTGGTTAGATTCCAGACGCACAAGCTACCAAGTACAAAGGAACATATAACAAACGCTATATGAATTTGGAGTTCCAGAGCTTCAAAGTAGATGCTTCACTGCTGATGTATTTTATAAGATAATTTTGCTTAGTGAACACTGATGTCATAGCATTAAATTCCCAAGAAGATACTAGAACAGATGTTGGCTTATTAGCATTTTGTTTTTCAGGCAAAGTAATAGTCATCTGCAAGATGGGGACACTGCACTGAACAGTGAAACAATTCCAGTGTGAAAGTCAGGATAAAGTATGTTTTATATTGCAGAGCCAACATTTCACAGTAAGCTCTAAGTTCTGTTTTAGTATCCCTGGAGTAGCAACGAGGGTATGGAAGAGAGGGTCAGGAGCAAAGATGACAGAAAAACAGTAGGATTGGGCACTTATTGTGTATTCTGATTAGAAACAGTTCTTCATGTTTGCTGACTGTAGGGAAGCCTTTCTTCTTTGCTCCAATACTGTGAGAATAGTTTGCATGTACATGGCATGCAGCTGCTCCTGCTTTTTCCCATCAGCTGAAAACGTGAAAACATGGTTTGGTCTCTTAGACTTGGCAATGGACACCTCATTCTGGAACGCAAAATAGCCTGGTAAGTGGGGAGCTTAGGGAAGTAAAGGCAAAATATATATATAAAAAGACAGGTTTTGGGCAAAAAAGAGTGAAAAGACAACTTTCATAATGCGTAAAAAGAAAATGGTCATCAGCTTCTCACTCCAACAGCTAAAAATGCTGATGTTTGAAGCAGCTGTTTTATGCTTCTGAATAATTCTGCAAACTTCAAATTTGTTTCAAATTCCGTTTTTTTCCCCTCTGTTGGATTCTTAGTGACTTCCAATTCTTTAGAGGCCCATCATATTGCATGATGTACAAAAACAGGGGAAGAGGTCGTTCCCATGACAAAAGTTTTTACTTAATTATACACATACGCAAATGTAAGGAGTGGAAGAAAAGGATAAAAATTGCAGGTTAAATGTTAAATATTAAATATTGAAAATGCAATATTTAGCTGAACAGTTGGGGGGAAATGTGCTGAGGAATCAGCAAAGAAAAATAGGAGGCTGTTTTATAGATGGCTTATGTGAATGCGTTTCTTCATTAAATTGGGGAGTTGCTTGGCCAAAATATGGCGATCCAGAAAAAAGCTGAATCTTTTAGTCAGTCATTGGAATGACAACAGCCTACTCTCTTTACTGGAGCCTAAAAGTAACAACCTTAACTGTTTCTGAATATTGGTAAAACCCACATTATTTAAAATACAGTGAACAATGAAATCATCATAGTGTCTTCTACTTTGTAATTACAGGCACAGAAGACAGAGCTAGGTAGAAACAGTTCTTATCCCCTCTCCTTCAAATTTACAGGACAGTGACTTTTTCCTGACTTGGAATGTAGTCATTATTTCAGATTTTTGTGAACTGAATATCACTTTGTAATCTCTAATTGTTTTTGTTTAAGGGAATAAAATGTTACATTTCAATCCAACCTTTTGTGTTCTAAATGTGATGAAGCTTTCTTTTAAAAAAATATTTCAGATTAGGTACAATTGAAAATACTGAATTGGAATTTTACAGCTTTGAAATCCTGTCTATATTTTTTCATTGGACAACTTGGCTAAAGAGGTCTCAAACCCCTTGTTTTTAAAATGTAAAGCAAATTATAGCCTTTTCAGTTATGGACATCAAGTTTTGATAAAGAGACTGAAAGACTTCTCTAAGAAGAAACTGCAGTACTTTTAGTCAGTGTCAACAAATTCTGGAGCAACTTCAAGCACAGCTAATAGTCTTTCCCTTTTTACTGTATGCTTCATTGCCTCCCCCCCCCCCCCCCCCCCCCCTCTCCTTCTTTTTTTTTTTTTCTTTTGTTATTTGCTTTCTTCTTCTTACAGGTAAGAGGTGTAAACTTTGAAGCGGTTTTAAGGGTGGAAGAAGATGAAGCCAACTCCAAAAGAAATGCTTCAAAAAGAGAAGTAGAGGATGACTTAGGTCTTAGTATGCTTATTGATTCCCAGAACAATCAGTATATCCTTACCAAGCCCAGAGATTCAACCATTCCTCGTGCTGACCATCATTTCATAAAGGTAATCATTTTAGAGACATTCTTGTCATTTGTTTTGGTAAGATTTAGTCCCACTAGTTTGCATGCCAGTACTGCTTGGTTGGACTGAATATAGTTTCAGCATTTGTCCCTCTAAAGTTACCCTAGCATTCATGATTATTCCCCCGTCTACTGGTGATCTGGCCAATGTGTTCCCTACTCCTAGTATAGTCTTCACAAGACTGGTTGTGATGCCGTATGAGTCTTCTCTGTTTTTATTTCATTTAACTTGTTGCACCTTTGGGGCACCATCCCTTCTCTCGGACTGCACAGCGTTAAAGCAAGCTACTGCTGTGCCTGATAAGCCACTTACATGTTGTCACTAGAGATAATTTATCTGTTTAGGTCTTGTGATGAAAAAAGGGATGCTGCGAAATACATAGTCGTGTTTTTTATTGTATTTGTGCTTCATGAAGAATAACTGGATTTTTTTTGTTTCTGTTTTTTTGGGTTTTTTTTGTTTTTTTTTTTTTGTTTTTGGTTTTTTTTTTTTTTTTACGGGGAGGAAATCGCTACCTGATAATTCAGTATTGTCATCTCGTGATGATTTTAATGCCAGTAAATAATCTGTTTTTTTTTCAAAAACCCCAAACCAAAATGGATCTGTTTCACCATTTTATTTTAAAAGTGTCATTCCTCCCACAATTCCCCAGGAAACTGTCTACTTCCTACAATGTATATAAAATATTTAATAAATTGATCAAAAGTCCCCAAAGCTACCAATTACTTAAGGTCAGTACCTCATCTGCTTCATCTGCAAAACTGCAGTGCTTACACCTACAACAAAGTGTTCAGGTTAGTTTACTGAAGTTGTATTTTCTTTTCACAGGCAGTATTCTACATTTAATTTTACAATGCTGTTTATCTTTTGAAAGATAATAGTCTTTAATTTCATCACAAATTTGTGTGTCCTTTATATTAACACATTTCTAAATCTTACATATTTAGGATATTGTGACAATAGGAATGTTGTCTTTGCCATGTGGCTGGCTGTGCACAACAATAGGATTGCCAACCATGTTTGGGTATATCATCTGTGGAGTACTCTTAGGACCATCAGGACTAAATAGTATCAAGGTAAGTGTGCAAGTTGCTTCTTGACTGATTTCATTTGTTGAAATCTTTAAAAGTAGTTTGAAAAGAATATGGTATTGCCAACCTCAAACGTATTTAAAAAAAAAAAAAAAAAAAATCCCCAAACCTGGACCTTCGCAAAATGAGGCCTTAAAATTTTATGTCTTCGAATCACTTTGTTTTCGATTTTTTTTCTCTCCTATATAATCATGACATAAGCAATTGTTGAAAGTGAAAGTTGAAGGTTGCGGTTTGTTTGGGTTTTTTTTTTCTTCTTTTCTTTTTGTCTTTAATCATGAAGCATCACAACAATCTCACACGTCTGAGAGCCAAATTACTTAAATGACATCAAATATTCAGAAACTTGCAAAAAGACAGTGTTGGCAGTGGAGGAAGTGTTTAAAAAAAGTAGTTCCCTGAGTAGCATAGCTTGGCTTCCTAGAAAGTTATTTTGCATCTCTGTAGCTCTTTCATCCATCCTAGTCTCCCTAGTTCTTTTCCAGTCCCCTGTCCGCATTCCTGAAGTCTCTTGAACCTTTTTAGCTCCGTCACGTGTACCCTGATTACTAGCTCATGTGAAACCGTGGGCAGTGGTTGGCTAGACATTGCACATGTTTTGATTAGTGGTCTGGTGCGCATTAACAGATTGTTTAGCCAGCAGGCAAAACAGAACACATGTTAAGGTTGCATGGTAATGTCCGGTTAAGTTGCACGTGTCTCTTACATTGATATCCACATAACTGCTTGGAACTTACTGTCTTTGCAACCTCTGCTCTTATGTGGACTTTTGTTTAAAATGACTGTTGGGCTCAAAAGTAAGTAGGGATGAATAGAATTGTAGGATTTTGTCAATCTCTTATTGGAAGAGAAGGCTACAAATACTACACTTTCAAATTTTCATATTCTAAAACTGAGATTAAATAATAACCTTTGTGTCATACATAACTTCTGGGTTGAGAAGGTCTGGAAAGCTTGACCGCTTGGACTGAGAAACAAGTTTGTAAGCTTGGCATTAGAAAGAGATTCAACAATGAATTTTCAGAGACTTACACTGAGGAAGATGATGTGGTCAGAACAGACATGAGAGGTTTCTTTAGGACAGTTTCTTAGGGAACTGCCTGTTTCTTGTGGAGCTGTGATTAAACATTATTCATCTGGATAACATTCATGTTGACTGGGTCTCGTGTGTGTACTCTCTCCTTTTGTCTCTTCCATATTTCATAAAAAAAGTTAAATGTCAGAGGAAGTGAGGAGACAGGCAGATTCTGATCTGGCAGGGAAGATAGTTTCCATCTCCAGTTCTCTATGATTGATGATAGACCTTGTCCTCTTCTGCTCTGGACTGTAAATACATAGAAGAGAAATGTTAGGTTTTTCTGTTGTGACAAGGAAGACAACCACTATTCTTGCTGTTGTACCCCTCTCTCTGAAGTGGAAAGGCTGGTAGTTGTACTGGTCTGAGAGATGGATGCATGGAGTCTATAGGATGGAGAGCAGAACAGCAACTACAGTCTAGCAGAATGATTATACCAATAGACCAATAAAATAACTAGCCAGAAGTAACTTCTGGAATGCAAGCCTTGGGGGTTTAATAGCATATGCATAAAACGTAACCTATTTATTGTCAACAAGCAAGCAAGCAAGCAATCTTACCTAGATCAACGCATGTGTGCATTTTGGGTGACCAGCACTATCCAACCAAATTATCTAGTAGCAGCCAGGTGATGGGGAAAAATGTTTGAACCCTAAAGATGCTGAGGGAACTTCTGATGTCATATGACCAACAAGTGAACTACCTATGGAAACATAATGAGAAACAATTTGTTTTGTAAGTGGACTTATAAGTAGACTGCTGTGCACTAATTTTTATTTTATTTTTTTTAAAGTCTATTGTACAGGTGGAGACGTTAGGAGAGTTTGGTGTATTCTTCACTCTCTTTCTAGTTGGTCTGGAATTTTCTCCTGAAAGATTAAGAAAGGTATTTTTGTATAATACCTCTACATTACAGGATTTAATTGCTAATGTTCAAGTTATGAGTTATATTTCAGATTTTTACATTCTCCCTATAATATACTGGTGTGATTTTGTACATTTTTCAAAAGACAAATATGACATAACTCTTTGGAAAGAATAGAATCCATTATTTATTCAGTGTCTCAAAAAAACCCTTTGCTATTCCTCTTCATTTTAGTAAAACAGTTTGATTACTAGAAAAATCTCACACAATTTATGGCAATCCATCTCTGCTTTATTTTAACAAGCAGTAACATGCAGTTGCTGTTATGGAGTGTTCAGTGATGTTTGCCAGTCCTGTTAAAAAAAAAAAAAAAAAAAAAAAAAAATCAGTTTGTTAAGTACTGCATACTGAATTGATGATACATGCTGTACTGGCTAATAAACTCATTCTGCAAGTATGTTAGCACAATCTGGAATATTACATGAAGTGGCCATCAGGATTCAGCAAAAAAGTACAGGTTATCTCATAAACCAGCTAGAATTTTAATAGTGGAAAGTACTGCTGCAAGATAGGTAAAGATTGTATGTATGTAAAGAGTTGCATTGTGTGATTTGTTCCTAAACTGATGGTTGTGAGTTCGTGAGACTATAAAAGATTTAATTGAAATGTGTTAAAATTTATGAGCATTCAGCTTAATCTGCTATTTCTAGTCCATCTAAAGTCAAAGATAAAAATCAGTAATTCAAGGATTCCTAAACTGTAATATATAAATTGTTACTTCAGAATTGTGCGCTCACTAGTGTGGAGCGGGCTGCTGGTATTGATGATGGCTTTGCCACTCCTATTTTTCCCCACCCTGGAATCACATCAAATAGCTGGTCTTCCATTTGATGATTTTAATATATTTCAACCCATACTGGACCTTCGGCCCTTAATTTGTCTGTGAACTCTGGGAAATTTACCTAATTTCTGGTAATGAGCCTTCTGGCATAGAATATTATCTACTAGGCATAATAACTTCAGAGTTTTAGGATGTATAGGATGACAGCCTGTTACTTCCGTGGCTCAGCACTGCAGCCCCAAATCATGAATCTTTTAACTGCTTATTTGCACTGAAAATCATTGTAACTTATCAGTGAGAAAAGTGTCATCAGACTTTATCATAAGAACTTGTTTTCTTCCCAAGGTATGGAAAATATCTTTGCAAGGACCCTGCTACATGACAGTTCTGATGATTGCCTTTGGTTTACTATGGGGACACTTGCTCCAAATTAGACCAACACAAAGTGTCTTCATTTCCACTTGTTTATCTTTATCAAGCACGCCACTGGTGTCAAGATTTCTTGCAGGTAGTGTTCGAGGAGATAAAGAAGGTAAGTATGATTTTACATATGGACTACTGTAGTATCTGCAATAAAATTTGAAAGAAGTTGGCTTTGTAATATTATGAGAGAAACTATTTAAAAACTGAAACAAAACAAAACGAAAACCACTGTTAAGTCTTGTTTACAAGTGATCATCCTCCTTTAACACTGGCCAGTGCTGTGTATTTTCTTGTTATGAGGTGTACCTGCTATTTACATAGCCAGTCCTCTTCGGAGAAAGACAGCGTAGCCCAATTAGAACTCTCCATGTTAAGAACTGACTTTACTGAGGGTCTGGAATCTTTCTGCTTTTTAAGAGGTTACCAGGTTAGACCATTACTACCAGTCTGTCATCAGGGCAGAAAGGCTAACTTAAATAATTCACACCCTTCTTCAGCAAACTAACACCAGCTCAGGTAGTCTTTCATAGCGAACAACTCTTCAAATAAGTACCTTCAAGTGCCATATTGCTAGCTTCTCAAAAGACTTCTAAATGTTTCCTTTCAAAAATTTTGCCATCCTGCTTTCTTCCACTTAGAACTCCCTCATACATACTGCATTAAAGTTCTCCCCACCCCCTAGAATATTCATATTCTAATGCCTAAATTCAAAGTGCATGTTTTACACATGCTGGCTCTTACATGCATCTGTTATTCTAAAGACTGTATATTTTCAGTAAAGGAGTTCCAGTAAATGCATAACTAGTGCTTAATTGCTAAACAAAGTCTATATTTTTATTGTGTAACAGAAGCTTCATATGAATATTTTATTTATATTTTTAATACATCTTTATTTATATATAGTTTAATTTACTTACTGGTGGGGGGAAAAAACCCAGAATGCTTTGAATGACCTCACCCCATTGAGAACTATACTTAGCCTCCATTTGATTAAGACATTTCTAGATTTCTGAGCCCTGCAAGCATTCATAGATTCTGATGAATGTTTCCATGACTGCTTTGTTGGTGCACAGGGGATATTGACTACAGTAGCGTACTACTTGGCATGTTGGTGATGCAGGATGTGCAGCTTGGTTTATTTATAGCTGTCATGCCTACACTTATTCAAGCAGGAGTGAGCACATATTCCAGGTAAAAAAAAAAATTATTGTATGTATCTTCCCCCCACCCCCTTCCAAGTAGTCTGTAGATTGGAAATATGAATATGAGAGCACTACCGTTAATGTCAGTTCCGTGAAAAATACGCACTCTGTTCTGTGAGTTCCCTTTACTCTTTGTACTTGTCATGTTGTATGAGGATATTCTTTCTGCTCTAGCTGCCTTAGTCCTGTTCAGTACTTAAAATCTGTAGTGAAAAATTTGTTATTTTAAAAAATAAGCGAATTTTGTCAGTTACTTTATTCCCTCAAGACATATTTTTGTCAAAGACTATGTGGTAGTATTATTGAGCCTGATGGCTTACCTTGAAGATCAATCAACAAAAATCTTTTTGAATAAACGTGAAAGTAAATTCTAGGCTGTAAAAGAGATTGCTGGGCACTCAGTGGATTTAGTATTCATCTTGTTTACTAATGTATCTAAATATCTAACTGTAGCCACTCAGTTTTGAACACCTGTGGAATTAGATCTCTTCTCTTAAGGGGAACTGGTTGGGAGGCATGAGAGCACTTGAAAGAAATGTTTTGTTTGTTCTTCTCTTCCAGCATTTTCAAGGAAATACTGAGAATACTGATACTGATTGGCCAAATCCTCTTTTCTCTGGCTGCTGTTTTTCTTGTATGTCTTGTTATAAAGACTTATCTCATAGGACCGTATTATCGCAAGTTGCATGCAGAAAGCAAAGGGAATAAAGAAATCCTCATTCTAGGAATAACTGCATTCATCTTCCTTATGTTAACGGTAATCTTTTAAATTAATAAAACACTTTGCATGTGGTAGTTTACTGCATCAGTATCACAAAAGCCATCACACTTACTGTTATTGCATATCCATGTACCTCTGTAGTTAATCATTTGGGTTTACTATGTTTTAAAACAAACCCCAAATGCACAGATGATTCATTCATTACAGCATAGATGAGTAAGAAGACGTAAAATTTGAATGTCAATCAGCTGAACTTCTGCTGGTAACTTTTAATACAGCCAGTTAAAGAATCATGATTTCAGTTTTAATTCTGGGCTACTTCATGCATTTGAAAATAACTTAGGATGGGTTTTGAGATACTGATAATGGCTGATTGTGACATTTGCTCACAAGTTTCTTTTCAATAGCAAATTCTTAACATGGTTTTTAGTATAAAATACTTTTCTTTTTCTGTGGGAGCTAAACAGTTTGGGATGAAGTTGAGAAAGCAGAGAAATGCCTTAAGGTTCATAGGTTTTGATATCCCTTTTGGGTTTGGTTCATTTTCCTCTGAATCTTCCTCCTATTTGTTTCTATCGTACGTTTCAGCCCTCTGAAAAACTGTTTTGCTGGAGAACAGAATGTGACAGTCACTGATAATGTTGTGGGTTTGAAACTCCATTATCCTGAATGTGCAGTCTGTTATGTCCTCTCAGAATTTCTGAGAAAAGTTATCCCAAAAAGTTCCTGTGCATGGGCCTTCTTTTGTAGTATTTGCTTAATTATTACAGGTCCAACAGAGAAGGCTGACCTCCTTCAGGAAGAAGGTCCAGAAAGAAGTTAGTGAGAGCATAGCTTTACAATTTGTTCATTTCTATTGTATAGGTTAAAAATGCCACCCCTCTAAAGAGCTATTCATATTCCAAACAGGAGTGCCATCTAATAAGAGAAGGAACAAAACTAGTTTCTCCTTTTTACTTTCTAACAAGCAGATGTAACTTTTGTAGAACAACTTCAATGAAAACCAACAGCAACCAAACCACAAAAGTTGCATAAAATATGGTATCTAGAAGCAGCCTTACTTGCATTAAAAATATGGCCTACATAGACTGATCTGACTGAATTTGGTGTAATGTGCCCAAATCACATATCCAATGTACAAGGAGTTTGTCTACATGACTTTGCATAATATATGTGTGTATATAAACCTGAGGGAGAATATGTTTGACAAAAGCCATCACACTTACTGTTATTGCATATCCATGTACCTCTGTAGTTAATCATTTGGGTTTACTATGTTTTAAAACAAACCCCAAATGCACAGATGATTCATTCATTACAGCATAGATGAGTAAGAAGACGTAAAATTTGAATGTCAATCAGCTGAACTTCTGCTGGTAACTTTTAATACAGCCAGTTAAAGAATCATGATTTCAGTTTTAATTCTGGGCTACTTCATGCATTTGAAAATAACTTAGGATGGGTTTTGAGATACTGATAATGGCTGATTGTGACATTTGCTCACAAGTTTCTTTTCAATAGCAAATTCTTAACATGGTTTTTAGTATAAAATACTTTTCTTTTTCTGCGGGAGCTAAACAGTTTGGGATGAAGTTGAGAAAGCAGAGAAATGCCTTAAGGTTCATAGGTTTTGATATCCCTTTTGGGTTTGGTTCATTTTCCTCTGAATCTTCCTCCTATTTGTTTCTATCGTACGTTTCAGCCCTCTGAAAAACTGTTTTGCTGGAGAACAGAATGTGACAGTCACTGATAATGTTGTGGGTTTGAAACTCCATTATCCTGAATGTGCAGTCTGTTATGTCCTCTCAGAATTTCTGAGAAAAGTTATCCCAGAAAGTTCCTGTGCATGGGCCTTCTTTTGTAGTATTTGCTTAATTATTACAGGTCCAACAGAGAAGGCTGACCTCCTTCAGGAAGAAGGTCCAGAAAGAAGTTAGTGAGAGCATAGCTTTACAATTTGTTCATTTCTATTGTATAGGTTAAAAATGCCACCCCTCTAAAGAGCTATTCATATTCCAAACAGGAGTGCCATCTAATAAGAGAAGGAACAAAACTAGTTTCTCCTTTTTACTTTCTAACAAGCAGATGTAACTTTTGTAGAACAACTTCAATGAAAACCAACAGCAACCAAACCACAAAAGTTGCATAAAATATGGTATCTAGAAGCAGCCTTACTTGCATTAAAAATATGGCCTACATAGACTGATCTGACTGAATTTGGTGTAATGTGCCCAAATCACATATCCAATGTACAAGGAGTTTGTCTACATGACTTTGCATAATATATGTGTTTATATAAACCTGAGGGAGAATATGTTTGAGTGGGTTGGATTCATACTGCGAAACAGAATGCTTCTTCAGCATGGGAAGCATTTGTGAAGGAGCAAATATTTTGTGTACTTTAAGTGAAAGCAATTTTCCTTTTAAAGTTGATAAATAATGTATCAAAGGGAACAGTAGAAAGGATACTGCATGTAACCTCGGTAAACCAGTTGAGATGCTTGATATTCACTGACACTGATACATTCATTATGGTAATACTACAAGTTGTGGTTTGAGCACAAAGAGCTAAAAAAAAAAAAAAAAAACCACAAAATTTATCAATTTTGTTTCCCAGTCT